AGAGAGAGAGGGAGGGAGAGTCCGGGAAAGGCTGGCTCTCTCTGCTGGAGGGGGCGAAGACGGAGCCGGGCGCGGCAGGACGGCAGGCAGCGGCGCGGCCATGGGGGTCGACGTGGAGACCATCACGCCCGGAGACGGTGCGGGGCCAGCTCTCCCTCTCCCTCTGGTTGGGCTTCAGTGGCGCAGGGATGGAGGGGTGGGGTGGCGATCTTCAAGTGACCCTCTTTGGTTCAGCTCCTTCTGCTGTCAATTTGCCATATTCTGATGCCCCCCAGAAAAGCAGCGAGGCTGGTCCGTAAGGGTGGGTGCGGAGTCCGCACGGAGTGACCCGTGCGATGCGGGTGGCGTTCGTGGGATCTCCGGAGGAAGGGAGATGGGCACCCGGGCCCGGTGGGGTTGGGTTTTTTTAAAAAGCATGGGGATGGGGGGGCGCATCCCTGATGCCGGCGTGTGCCTGCGAGGGCTGCCTTGCCCGCGCCGGAGCCCCTCCACCTGCTCGCCCTTTCCCCTCCCTGCTCCGGGTCTCTCGTGTGTGTGTTTGTGGGGGGGAGGCTTTGCTCCCTGTGCGCGTCGCCTGCCTTGCCCTTGCTTTAAAAAGCCGCCCCCCTCTTTTACCGGCTGGGCGGCTCGGGGATCCCAGGGGATCCGGCTTGCTTCTGAATCGAGAGGAATGGACGGGAGGCTTTCGGCCAGAGCAGCGGAGAAAGGGCAGGCGAGACCTCCGGAGGTGAAAGTGGGATGGCGGAGGGTGGCGGGAGGTAATGCCAGGGCTGCGTGGATCGGGGCCGAGAAACCTCGAGGGGGGGGCTCGGGGAGGCAGAAATGTGTACTAAACGGGTAGCGGGGAAAGAAGCGAGTTGGGGAGGGGAAGGGAGATTTAGGTCGGAGTAACGCATTCCCGGGGGCCCAGACAGGAGGAAAGCTTGAGAGTCCCTTGGGTTGGAGGATGATGCGCGCGGGGGGGGGAGGACACTGGGGAGGAGCGACTGACTCAGGGGAAAAGCCCCCCTGGGGCTCTGCGGGAATCCGCAGGTTGCCGCCTTCTGCTTCTTTGGCAGCCGCCGGCGATCAGGGCTATGGAAACGGAGTAACGCATTCCCGGGGGTCCAGACAGAAGGAAAGCTTGAGAGTCCCTTGGGTTGGAGGATGATGCGCGCGGGGGGGGGAGGACACTGGGGAGGAGCGACTGACTCAGGGGAAAAGCCCCCCTGGGGCTCTGCGGGAATCCGCAGGTTGCCGCCTTCTGCTTCTTTGGCAGCCGCCGGCGATCAGGGCTATGGAAATGGCATCTGCTGACAGCTGCAGGAATCCGAGCGCGGCGAAGTAATTGAGTAACGAGAGCAAATTATAGGGCGCCGCACTTCACTGCATCGAGTGGGATCATCCTCACCCGGGAGCGCCCGAAAGAAGGGGGCTTCTCCCCACCCCCGCCACCTTTGAAGCTGCAGGAGCTCCGGGTGCACCTGCAGTCCTTGCAAAAGGATGATTCCTCTGGAACCAGCAAGGCGAGGGAAGGATCCGCAGCTGGCAATTTGGAAGGGGGGGTGCAAGGTGCCGGGAGGAATGCCAGCTGCAGGGCGATGGATAGATGTTGGTGGTTTCTGGCCAGTTCTTGCCCTGGGGAAAGGTGGGGCACCGGATTGGCATTGATGAAATTATTGTGACCACAATTTAGTGTTTTGTTTTTAAAAGAATATCTTTGCTGCTTTAAAAAACTGGAAAATACTACACAGTCATTTTAGCCTAAATTTCTGGGGCCAGGAAAGGACCCCGTAATACCTTGAATGCCTTGCACCATTCTGAAATGTTCATAACAGTGTTCATTCATTGTCCTTTGCATCTCACCCATTATTCTTGAATGTAATTCTTGTGTATGGACAGGTTTGTACCTGCTTTCAGAGGAATACAGCTGCCTCTAGTAATCTTGATGGCTGTGTGCTTCACCTAACATTCTTAATATAATGTCATTAATTTGTTTAATAATTGGATAACTCACTGATTTATTTGGTTTAACATTTGGTATGGGTTCAAAACAAGTGAGATCTGGCAACTGTCCAAACTGTGAAGACGAGAACTCCATCTGTAAATTGGCAAGGTTCATTGAGGGGCTAGCCCAAAACATTCCCGGTCGGTGGGTTTCCTCATCGGAGCACTCCGAACCGCACAGATTGTCCCGCAACAAGGGTGTCTGGCCCAATCTCCCTCCGGTGGTGGTTGGCTGAAGGATTGGTCTGGTCAGATCACCTTCCTTAAGTGACCTGGTCCCTGTGGAAAGATCACAACTGTCCATTCTAGTGCCTCTGTCAATGTTCCCTTTTCCTTTGACAAGTTGGAGTCAGGCAGAATCCTTCTACTGTACCTTCAAATTAGGGAAATCCTCCAATAACCCGCACACTCTTTCTCACCTTTTTCTCTCTACTTTTTTCCTCTTTCATCCTCTCTCCCCTGGGTATACTAAACTGTCTCCTCCCACTTTGATCTCCTATATCCTCTTCCCACGCAGGCAATATTAACTCCTCCCCCCTTTCTTTCTCCCTCTTCTACCAAACAGATTTCAATCTTCTCTTCTTTCCCCTTTGATTCCCTTCCTCTCTCTCTTCTCCACACTCAATTCCTCACTTGCTATTATCTTCCTTTTCTCTCTCCCCCCCCCCATGTCTCTAGTCGAGGGGAGGACTCACTCAGTTCTTTTTCTTTTTGGTCTACCACTCCTTCACAGTGCTGCATCCTAGGAAGTTTTAAAGAGGAAATGGCATGAGCTTGGAAAGTGCCTACTGAGATGGCCTCTAAAAATGCTCTTAAACTTTAAAAGTTCAACGTGGGGCTTAAAGTAATTCAAACATGTTATTCCTTATCCCAGACTAGATAATGTTATTTCTTCTCATTATGCTACTTTTGATATAGACCTCTGTTGTACTTTGTTGCAAAAGATGTTACCTGCTATAGGTAGCTGTGTGATTATTAATTCATTACTTCCAATCTCTGCTCCGGGGTTGCTTGGAAATTTGCCAGGCTTCACCAAGAAGGTCATTCCTGCTGGGCAGCCTTTGTGAGTAGCAGCTGAATAACAGCTTCTCTAGCTTTACCAATGCCTTCTTTTTACAAAGAGCAGTTGCAGGAGACTGTTGGATGAATTCCAAAGCGCATTCTTGGTTGGCTTGACTGTTGGCTTGCGTACCCCCTGTGGGGCCCGGTGCAAAGGGAATGACTCTTGGAATAATGTACCTTACCAGTCTGCCAAAGATGCACATCTTGGCAGCATTCCCTGAAGGATAAACATCTGGGACATTCTCTGTAGCATCATTATTATGGAGACAACACCCATTGTATTCCTTGCTTTGATGATTGTTAAATTTTGTAATCAGTTGGGCTCTCCCCCCAAGGCACATAACTCACTCTTTAGGAAGACAGGGTTAGCAAACAGCTAACCCCTATAGGTGGCTATAGGGGCTATAGATTAGATTTATCTGCACCATGGTGCCTGCCATCTCTATGTGAGTATTCCTATACTGGCAATAAATTGAACAAGAAAAACCAGAACTATTCTACGGTCGTTTTGGCTAGTCTCCTGTCGCCTGAACATGGAGTGGAAGAGACATGGTGTAAATGTTGCTCCTGCTTTGGCAGGTTCCCCATTGCATTACCAGTTGCATGAATGATCATGCAAGCAGTGCAAGGACTAGCACACAGTGGGGGACCTGTAGGAACAAACTAGGTGGAGATGCTTGCATGATTTCTCTTCCACTGCTTTTAAACAGTGAGAACCTAGCCTTTATCTCATACTTGTATAGCTTTGGATTTGAACTTAAGTCTACCATGCTTTGTCTCTTAAAGAGGAAATATTCAAAAGATCATGTATTCAACATTTCATAAAGCTCTTTTTAATATAGATGTATATATTTTAACAGGAAGAACATTCCCCAAAAAAGGCCAGACATGTGTGGTCCATTACACAGGTAAGATCCACATTGAATTGTATGTTTCAAGTTATTGATTCACATTTTCATTAAATACATATGTATATACATATATGTTGACATTTGTATTAGTTGATGATGTTTGGAACAGAGTGAATAAAAATCAATGATTTTAAAAAATCAAACTGATTTAAATCATGGTTTACGTAAATAAAAAGATTTTTTATTTAAATTGTCAAAACATTGATTTTTTAAAAAAATTCAAATTGATTTCAATCAAATCCACCTTGGTTCTGAATGTCATATGATCATATTTGGGCAAACAAGAATTCCTTATCCAATCTTATCCAATTTATTCATACCAATTTTATTTGTACGAACTTGGATACCCGATTGTCTGATTACTGTGGTGTGTGTTACGTGCACTGATAGTTCTCAACCCCTTTTCCCTGCTGCCTTGCACAAGCAAGAACTCAAATGGTGGCGGATTACAGCACTGGTTCTTAACCTTGGGTTACTCAGGAGTTTTGGACTGCAACTCCCAGAAGCCTTCACCACCAACTGTGCTGGCTGGGGTTTCTGGGAGTTGCAGTTCAAAAACATCCGAGTAACAGAGGTTAAGAACCACTGGATTACAGGATGGCTGGGTTCTCTTGTTACAGCTACAGCAAAGAAAACAGAGGCTTGGTCTCTTCATTATAGCACAAATGGTTCCACTATTCTTTGCTGCTCTTTCCTTGTCCTCTGTTGTTCAGCCCTTGCTGTGATTTTACATCGGTTACATATCTGTGATCTAACCGATGGGGAGAGGTAAGGAGGTGGTCTTAGGGAAAAACTAGGGGATATCTTAGCAAGTTTTTAGAAGAGGTGCTTCCTCATGTGGTGGAAGATATCTGCTTGTGAGAGCATGCGGTTGTCCTCATCAATGCATCTTGCATTTAGTGGAATCTTTTTGTATGTTTTTATTGGTGTAACTGCAACACTTAACTTGCAGTAGTAAATGGCTGCTGGTTAAGAAGTGGACACTTGTTTTTCTTGTCTATTGCCAAGTCATGCACCTGCTATGTGGCAAGGAAAACAAGCACCCACTTCTCAAACTGGTGGCAATTGGCAGCTGAAAGTTACGCCATTAAGAGTTACACCAGTGAGTGTAAGTAACATGATTCTGGCCAGTATGTTTTGCATTACGAATTGCCATTGGAAGATGACAAAAAGCTTAATTTGTCAGTCTTGTTCCTGAAACATTTAGTTCTGAGGAAATCCCGTTGTGGGAAGGAATATGGTATTCAATTTATTGAGAGATGGGACTTGGCTAGTACTGTACCCCAGTCTGAAACATCGGCTCTGTGTCCAGGCACAGGAAGGTGGCTTCTGAATGGAAAGTGGTAAAGCTGGTCCATGTGCAGTGGAGTCAATGCACAAATGGGGGTCTGGATTATATTTAGGGAAGAAACTCTGTCAGAGAAAAGGGGTGTATGTGCATGTGAAGAAGTTTGTACCTATGTAGAGGCAGAGGTGTGGGGAAATGGTCAAGGCTCAGTGTTCAAATGGCTCAGTCTGACAGCAGAAGCCTTGAGCGAGGATTAACTTTTCTGCCAACATAGAGCAGTGACTGAAACCACAATTTTCGGCTCCTCTGCTGCGTGCTAGCTGACAAAAACATAAATACTGCCTGAAGTCTTGAGTCTGTGGCTTTGCTGAACATGATTGACCAGTCAGTGTGAAATTTTGAAGACACAATGATCAGAGAATGGGAGAGACATCATATTTCTTTAGACAAGCTAGAACCCTTTGACTCTTTTGAAGGAAAGAGGTGTCTCATGTGCCTTCTGACCCTCCATTCCTCAAATACACTTATGGAGTTTCTTCTGATGCGTTCACTACCCATCGGATGGAACATCATCTTCATCCTATTCGAGAAATAGTCTAAACCGGTCTGTATTTCTTCAATTGGTAATGAATCTAAAGAGGAAAAGCTAGATATAGTGGATCAGTTTGGAAACCAAACCTGTTAGGGAGGGTTGAGGGAACTTGTCCTGTTCAGTTTTGAGAAGAGAAGGCAAAGAGGTGATAGGACAGCTGTCTTCAAGTATTTGAAGAGCTGTCACATAAATGATAGTGTGGGCTTGATTTTTTTGCCACTTAAGAGGGTATGACCAGAAGTAATAGAAAGGAGATTTTGACTGACATTAGGATGAATTTGGAAGCCACTATAATGGTTGCCTCAGAGGACAACAGACTTTCCTTCACTTGAGATTTCTTGCACTGGCAGAGGGTTGGACTTGATGGCCCATGAAATCCTTTTCATATCTACAATTCTATGATTCTGTAAGGGAATGTGAGAATCATAAGTTATTCATCAGATGTGAGGGAAGTCTGTTTTGTGCTTTCAGTGGAAGATGTGAAAGAGGCTGTGTGTGCATTTCTTCTTATTCTTACCGCAACAGTAAAAACTAGGGGACAGTTATGTTTTGCTGAATCAATAGTAGTACCAAATAAAGCCAGTATTTTCTGTAGATGGCACAACATTAAAAATTAATATTAGATAGTGCTGATTGTTTTTCCCCTCTATAATAATTATGAGAATCCTTCCTCCTCTCCCCCATAGGCTTACAGAAAGAACTGTGTCGGAAGAAAGGTGTGGGTATGCTTGACTTGCAGGTTTTCTTAGATTGGTTTGTGTTGTGCAATTCACTGTTGTGAGGGTTTCCTTGTGAATCAACTGGGGAAAAAAACACATTCCACTCAGAGCTTGTAAAAGCTACTTTTTGGGGGACCACTCCTTGCGTCGAACAGCGCAAGATCTTCTGCCACCTGAAGTGGGGAGAGGAGGGCCCACCCTATCATAAAGCATCCTCAATCCATCTCAAACACTCAGCCAGAAGAGCTGGAGATGAGCGAAAACAGCAGTCCTACTGCTACCTGTCACACCTAAGGAGGCAACGAAAAAAAGAAAAAAGAAAAAAAGAGAGAAACCTGGTAGCTGCAGCTTATTGTCCTGCCATCATAGCTGTCCACCACCCATGCTTTTACTGCTGTGAGGAGGAGGAGAGGGGCATCAATGGCCTGACATGAAATGGCAGTGGTGGTGCCTACCATTGAATGACAGGCAAAGCAGCCATTGCTTCAGGGAGGCCCTTTCTGCTGTGTAAATGGCTCACAAGCTCAGCTGCTTTTAGGTCATCTGTTTAAAAACCATCTGATTCTGGCAGACGTTTTTGGCGCTAAGCACTATGGGAGGGTGGCAGTTTTTGGTCATCATTCCCACAACGGCCATAACCAAGAATCTCTGCCAGAATTGCATGTTTTTAAAACAGGTGGCCAAAAAAACAGCTAACCTTGAGAGGCATGGCAGAGAAGCACTGGGTCCTCACTGCTGTCTCCTCATGTCTTTGTGCTTCTCAAACGAAAAGCTCTGGTGTGGGGGCTCTATTTCTGCAACAGCCCTTCTCCACCTGTTTCACTGGAGCGAATGGCAGGACTGACCCTGAAAATATCTTCACCAAGCCCTCAGGCAACCAGTAGCCAAGCTAACTGGGAGATGGTCAAGTTGTACCTGAAAAGCCTGCTTTGCTACATTCTGATCTCACTAACAGAAGAACATCAATTCTGTGAAAGCCCCTGGAAGCCAATGCAAAATTTAACTTACATTCAAGAAAAAGCACATTGATATAAAGGGTTTTAATTTTAAACAATGTCCTTTTAAAGGCCAACAAGATGAACAATCACATACAGTACCTTCAATTCAGTTCTGACTTATGGCAACCCTCTTCAGGATTTTCAAAGTAGAAAGTACTCAGAAGTGGTTTACCATTTGCTTCTTCCCTCTGATATTAGTAATAGTTTAATTAAGAACCTTTTTGAGTATGGTATCCTTCAGCGTGCCCTATTTTTATCTTGATGTGTTTAATCATTTGGTCGACTCAACACAGAATGAAATCAAAGTTTAGAAATGATTGGTAGAATATGATCATTTTTTTTTCTGAATTCAGTGCAGTCCAGAAATTTTTTGAAAATGTTTTCTCCAGAAACGAATTGCATGGGTAGCACTCTAGTTGCACAGTGCAAAAGTTGTTAATGGATCTAGTGTCTCAATTGTCACTTAAGAATTCCGAGCTGTCAAATCAATTCTGACTTATGAACTTTGAGGAATAGAGTATAGAGAAGTGGTTTACCATTCCCTTTTTCTGGGAATGCCTTGGGAGTGGGCATCTAGCTCTTCTCCTGAGATGCACTGGGGAATCAGACCCCAAACTGAGGTAACTGACTAGGTTTTTGGATTACGAACTTTGTTGTGATTATTCGGATTCTGATTCTGATCTTTGGCTTTGATATTGGACAATTGTTAACATTTTCCCATAAGTCTTCCTTCCTTTCCCCCCTTCTTCTCTCCCCTGTTTTCAACATATTTTATGGCCTCGTCAGGAAGCTAGGAAGAAGAAAGGAATGTTACCTACCTGTAACCATGGTTCTTCGAGTGGTCCTCTGTGAATCCACACATCCCGCCCATCCTCCCCGCTGTCCGTCACTTGGTTCTTGAATCTTTTTACAGTCAGAACTTTGACAGCGGCGGACATTCGGAACTGAGGTATTGTGGGCGGGCAGAGCATGAGCACCAGGGGGAAACATACTACTAATCACATGTTTTAAGCTCTAGAATATTCTGAGGAGTCCTGCGCAGGCGCAGTCTTAACCCAGTTGTGTGGATTCACAGAGGACTACTCAGAGAACCATGGTTACAGGTAAGTAACCTTCCTTTTTCAGTGTCATAGTAACCAGTGTTGTGATTATCTTTCAGAGTAATCCTGTTTATGGTAGAGTGAGGAACGAACTAGTGGATTATCCTCTATTTCCCAAGCCTGCAAGTTTGTACCAGCTGAAGCAGATGGGAAAGAGAACCTTAATGTGTTTCTTCTTTTGGTGTTTATGACCCACCACCACCCACCCAGTTTCCATGCTATTCACAATGGTACATCAGCCATTCAGTAGGTGGGTCCAGTTGGCCTCCTTGTAAGTGCACATGAAGGCTGTTATTATCC